AGCACCACCAGGGGGGGGGGGGGCTCTTCATATTGAGGAGAGAATAGTGATTGAGAGCCATGGCAGACAGAGCAACTGGTGCTGGGACTAAAAGGTGGTGACAGCAGGAGGAGGACAGCAGGGATGAAGCCTACGGGCCTGGGGGGACCAGAGGGCCACTAAGGGGTATAACAGGGAAGTGGGACTGTTAACAGGGAACACAGGGATGGGGAAGAGAGAGAACTATGTGGACTTGGGGAAAACTCAAAGCCTGGGGAGAAAGAAACAAGAGGTGGAACGAGTGACCAAAATGGGGATGGGGCAGAGCAGGTGTGAGAAGGAACAGAGGAGGGGAAAACTTGGGAGAGGAGAGGGGCACACAATGAGGACCAGAAACCTGGGGGGTGGGGGGAGGACAGCAAGGAAGACAAAAACTGAGAGAATATGTGTGTGTGTGTGTGTGTGTGTGTGTGTAAGAGAGAGAGAGAGAGGCAAATGAGGGAGAGAAACAGGTAGTGATGAAGATGGGGGACCTGGGTCCAGGTGGGTGGTGGGCTGATTGCACACAGAAGATTAAGTTGTGATTTACTGATTTCCGCCTTTATACTTTAACAAATTGAAAATACACTTGTTTAAATTATACGGATGAGAACGAGAATCGCAAAACTCTTTTGTGGAAGGCCTGCATATTTTACGACTCTTGGCCTCAGAGACCAGCTTCCTTTTTTTTTTTTTGGAGAGATTTTCACTGTAGGGCGCATGCGCTCGCCAGACAGACAGAGAGAGACATAGAGACAGAAAGCGAGAAATCACCCCCCAGGGGGGATGGTCATGCTGCAATCCCTTCTCCTCCATTCTCCTCTAGGGATCTTGGGCACGCACACGCGCCCGGCGTGAGTTTTAAGCCACCGGGTCCGGGACACGAACCGCGGTTGACTACGTGGGAGTCCAGCAATATAGCCATTACGCTAACTGCTGGTTCCCAAGACCAGCTTCCTTTTGAAATGCCTATTTGGCCAGAAGGCAGTGAGTTGACACACTCACAACACACTCATTTGTGGATTACCCTCTTCCTTTTTCCTGGAACGGGATAGTGTTGGGAAGTCTATTTCCTACCCTAACATTCAGAGCAAAACAACACTGAACACAGGTCATTTCACCTGTGGTCACACAATGTGGGGATCTCGCTCCACCTGCTAACTTTTCGTCACGGACTCTCTCTCCCTGTTTTGCTGACCACATCTCTCTGGAGATGAGGCTTTTCTCTGAATTTCCCTAGCTGCTTTTGTCCTCCCGCTAGTTTCCTGAGTTACCAGCTGGGTGTCCTGCAGCTATCACTCAGTTCTAACATTGTCCACCTGCATTTGCACCAGATCCACAGGTTGAAGGTTTAGTTCAGGACTGCGCCATTAGAATGCCAGTCTCTGGTCCCACATTGGGACCTGAACGTCTGAATTTCCTGCTATAAATCAAGGCTTCCCAGGGCCTGTTTCTCGGGGTCTGTTAACTTGTCAGAGGGGTTCACAGAATGGAGGGAATTGGTATTCTTATAAACAATATTACAAAGCGTACAGATGAACAAGTCAGGTGGAAAGTCTACCCTGTCAAATTAGTCTAACCAGAGGAGGTTTGTTTTCCTTTTTGGTAGAGGTTTTTGCCTTAGGGCATATACACATGTCAGAGACAGAGAGGGCAAGTGAGAAATCACCCCCCAGGGGGGATGGCCACACCTGCAATTCTCCTCTCTGGACCTTGGGCACACACATTTATGCACCTGGCCTAAATTTAAAGCCAGCGGATCCAGGACTCGAAACCAAGGTCTGCCATGTAGGAGTACAACAATGCAACTGCTATGCGATCTGCTGGTCCCTTTAAAATTTTATTTAGGTTTCTTTTGCCGTAGGGTACATATACTTGCTAGAAAGACACAGGGTTCAGGGGGTGTGGGGAGCCGCCCACATCAAAATGGCTATCATGACCTTCACTGCTTAAGAATGGCCGGTGCGACCTTGACACAGACACCAGGAATGCAGACCCCCTGGTTCACACAGAACTGGCAGGTCCTCAATAAGGTCCGCGTAAACCCCGCCTACCTCCCTCTACCTTGTGTATATAAGAAAGCGCTCTAGCCCTCAATAAATGAGCGAAACCTTTACATCAAGAGCTGTGACACTGTGAGCTGTGATACTTCTTTCGCTCCCGTGCTGAGACGCTGCGCCGGTTCCAGACCTCCGCCCCCTCGCTCGAGTTTCCCTGCCCGATTCGTCCCGCGGGTTCGGGACATTCTGGCGCCCGGACAGGCACTCGAGTTGAAGGGATCGCGACAGGTTCCCGAAGATTCCGAAGGGAAATAAGGAGCACGTTCCGGCAAGGAACAAGCCTTTGGAATAAGAAGTTCGTTCCTAACAGAGGAACAAGACAGAAGTCCGCGGCATTTTTTGGAGACGTATCAGAAGACGTCTCGGTGAGTAACTACTCACATTTGAATTCCGGGTTATAGCTAGACTATAATGGGGCAAGAGCTCAGCCAGCACGAATTGTTTGTTCAGGGATTAAAGGAAGCCCTTAGAACTAGAGAAGTAGAAGTAAAAGTTAAACAACTGCTCACATTTTTAGAT